TGGGCATGTCTTCCCACGTACAAGCTGCAAAGAGGAAGTTTGAACCAGCATATGCCTCTGAGTACCTGACCTTATGTGTGAGATCCAAGGCATTACAGGATGCAACAACTCGCTTGATGGGTCTGAGTGCTGTGCGCGCAGACCTCACTCTTTCAGTGATCTCATCCGCCATGGTGGCCTTGTCGTTGACCCTGGCTCCAAGAACTTTGTGCGACCTTACCACTGGCAGCTGAAAACCAAATTCTGAGCTAACAAGCGCAGCGCCATCCTCCTCCTCCTCCTCCTCCTCCTCCTCCTCCTCCTCCTCCTCCTCTGGTGCGCTCCGCCAGAACACGTGAGCAATGGCAGGAGATGTGGGACGCTCGACGGACCACATCAGCTGGGGCCGAACTGGGGACTCACGATCGGGGTCGCCCATCCTGGAATGGGAGAATGTCCGACCAGCCACCTGGGATTGCATCCCCGAGCTCCCCTTTTTCCTTGAGTGACCAAGCCATGGGGCAAGATCAATCAGCATCGGCTCGAGAAATCGAATCGAGTTGAAAAGCGCGCCGGATCGGGCCACATCGGCACGGAAGCGACATCGAATGAGATCGGCCACGACGGGATGCACAGCAACGCCGTGCAGGCATCGCGCCGCGCCGCATCGTCGGAATACCCGAGCCGAGTCGACTCAGAGTGACCAAACTGGTATCGAATTGGCGGGACAACAGATTCCGAAACCAGTGCTCCCTGGACCTCTGACCAGAATCACGATGAGAATCCAGCCGTGGCGACGAGGACTCCCCAGGACGAGCAGCGGCAACGGCACCTTTTCCTCACTTGACGAGTCGGATCGATGAGATCGATGGGGGCCCTGGATGTGGGGCTCCAGGGCGAGGAAGCCTTGAATGTTGAAAATTCAGCCTGGAAGCTCTTTCGTCATTATCCTTCGGACCCCACCCCTCACAGGACCTCCTCCTCCTCCTCTTCTTCTTCTTCTTCAGCCTCTCATCCTCCCTCCTTCCTCATCCTCCTCCTCCTCCTCCTCCCCTCCTCCCCACTCCCCCCCCCCCCCTTCTCTCCTCCTCCTCCTCCTCCTCCTCCTCCTCCTCATCCTCCTCTCCTCCTCCTCCTCCTCTCGCTGCCTCCTAGTGGCCTCCGCAGCTCCCTGTGGCTACTGGCCCTGGTGCGTAGAGTATGGCATATGCACCTTCGTCCAAAAGCGCAGGTTCACCGCGCCAACACCCTTCAATCAATCTTTGCAAGCAAGAGTGAGCACAGCGCCCACCAGTCACTCGGAAAACGTAGCGCTAGGGACGTGCATAATTAGCGTATCGTATCGTATCGTGTCCTCCTCCTCCTCTTCCTCCTCCTCCTCCTCCTCCTCCTCCTCCTCCTACTCCTCCTCCTCCTCCTCCTCCTCCTCGGAGAGGAGGAGGATCCTCCTCCTCGTCGGAGCGATCCGATCGAAATGGCCGCTCCTGCACGCGTGGCCGCCTCGCGCACAGAACTCCCCCCCATCTCGAGCGCCCGGGCCGGGCCACCGCTGCACGCCGGGGAGGCCCCGGCCGCCTGGAGGGCCTGCGCACGACGGCGCACGGCGGCGCCGCTGCTGGCCGCAGAACAGCCACGGGGCCACGCCGAAGGGCCGCCGACGGTCGCCGACGGCCGGCCACGGGCCGCCGTTGGGTCTCGCCGAACCCGGGCCCCCGACGTCACGAGCTGCTCCCGAGCGTCCTGTGGTGTTGGTTGGGTTCTCGTCTTGGAGGGGCAGTGCCTGCCTCGACCCTCCGCGTGCCAACCAGATCGGCGCATCCCTCGGACGTTCCGCGGCCCCATGGGGAGCTCCACCGGAGGCCCCGGCGGCTGCGTTCGCGTGGCACCACCGCCCCCATGTCGGCACGCCCCTCACACGCTTCGTGGCCCCATATAGGGAGCTCCACCGAAGACTCCAGCGGCTGTGTTCGCACAGCGCCGCCGCACCCGTTGCGGCACACCCCTTGCGCGCTCCGTGGCCCCATATGGAGCTCCACCGAAGGCCCCAGAAACTGCGTTCGCATAGCTCCGCCGCGCCCGTTGCTGCACACCCGTTGCACGCTTCGTGGCCCTATAGAAAGCTCGACCGAAGGCTCCAGAAGCTGCGTCTCTCGGCACACCCCTCACAAGATTCGTGGCCCCATTGGGACCTCTACCGAACGCCCCAATGGCTGCAATCGCATGGCACAAGCGCACCCGTTTCGGCACACCCGAGACACGCTTCTTGGTCCCAAAGGGAGCTCCACCGAAAGCGGTATCCACAACGCGGTTCTCACAACTGCATGCGGTTGGGTCCTTCGCCAAGAAATTCTTGTTCATAACATCAACTCTTAAAGCTCTCGGCCTGTTCCCCGGGCCGGTTCTCGTCCCCAGCCGACTTCTGACCGTACCGAAGCCCAAGTGGGGGCCCCTGGATGCCGAAAATGGTTCAAGACCTCCCGTCGTGTCTTGCTCACGACTCGAGGGGGTCTGGGAAGGAAGGGCCGCCGAGGGCCGCGCAGTCTTCGTCGCCGGCGCGGCCGCCCGCGCGGCCGCCCGCGCGGCCGCCGGCGCGGCCGCAGACGGCCGCGGCCGCCGGCGCTCTGCCAGGGAGGCCGGCGGGCGGTTCTGCGGGGGCCCCTCCTCGCGGGCGGGCGTCGTCGAGGGCGTCGCCGTCCGCTCAGATCTGGGCGACGCGCAAGGGCAAACGGCAGGTGGGCGGCGGAAGAGAACGGGTCTCACGCGAGATGGCGCGAGGCCGCAAGCGCGGCACGCCACAGTGGAGATCAGGGCGCTCACTCGCGACCTCACGCGGGACGCTTTCGCGCCAATGCTGGTGAAGACGACCCCGTTTTCCTTCGTCGCTCAGGTGGTCCAAGATATGGAGCTCGAGCTGAGATTTCGGGCCCTCCGCCCAGAAGGGGGCCCCCGAAATCGCCAGCAAGCCCCCAAGAAGTCCCCAAGGGGCCCCCAAGAGATTCAGAGGAAGCCTCAAGAGGCCGCCAAACGGCCCCCATGAGGCCCCAGAAGGTTTCAAATTTTCCTCCAAGAGACTCATCAAAGGCTCCCCAAGAGATCCCAACAACCATCCAAGAGGCCACTGACCCACAACCCAGGTACGGTGGCGGGATGTGCCAAAGGCCACTTTTTTTTTCGTTCCGCCGGGAAGCTCGCCGCCGACCAGGGGGCCCTCAGAACTTGGGTCCTTTCGCGGAGAGTGCCTCCACGATAGTCTTGGCCGGCGTTGCTTTCCGGTCACGGCCATGCCAAAAATCTCGCACTTCCCAGCTTTAGTCGCCTTCTCTAGGCGGGTCCAAACCATGACTTCACCGGGAATGACGAACTTGCCGTTTCTCTTTGCCTCTCAGCTCTCCGCGGGCGCTGCGGTGGGAGCGCTCTTGGTCATGACGGTGTCCTCTGCGGTCGCCTCCTGCACTGCTGGCGCCGGCTCCTCTCCCTCCGCCTCGTCGCTGTCGTCCTGGCCGCCTCCTCCGGGCACCCTCAGCGCCTCTGTTGCTTCTTCATGGTCTCGTCGTCGCTCTCCTGCCGCTGCTGCTGCTCCTCCTCCGCCTCCTCTACCTCCTCCGCCTCCTCTGCCTCCTCTCCCTCCTCCTCCTCCTCCTCCTGGTCGCCGCCCTCCTCAGGGCTTCCTCAGCGTGTTCCTGCTGCCTCCTCAAGGTCTCGTCGTCGCATTCCTGGTGCTGCGGCTCCTCCTCCTCCTCCTCCACCTCCTTCTCCTGGTCGCCCTCCCGCCTCCTCGTCCTCCTCGTCCGCCTCGTCGTCCTCCTCCGCCTCCTCCTCCTCCTCCTCCTCCTCCTCTTCCTCCTCCTCCTCCTCCTCCTCCTCCTCGGCCCTCAACCTCTGGCGCCGCAGCAGGGGGGGCTGCATGGCAAGGCGGCGGCCGCGCGGCCTCAGCCGCGTGCCGCCGTGGGCTCCTCCTCCGCGCCCGCCTCCTCGCCTGCTTCGTCGACGCGCCCGTCGTCCTCGTTCTGCTCCACCTGCTGCTGCTGCTCCTCCTCTTCCAGCGGCAGCTCTCTGCCCCAGGCGCCCGATCCTCCGTCGGCGCGCCCGGCGAGCAGCCGCGCTGCCCGGGGCGCCAGGCTAGGCAGCACTGCCCGTGCCATCGCGGCCCGCCTGCGCAGGATGGCCACCTGCACCTCGTGCTTCCAGCGTCGTTGGAGCTGCTTCGCGTCGGCGGAGACGCCGCCCCGGCGCGCTGCCTTCGCGGCCGCGTAGGCCAGCGTCCGCGTCACTGCCGGATGCGGCCGCCCATCAGCGGTCCACACGAGGGGCCTGTACACGATGCCCGCTGCTGAGAGCTCCTGTATCTCGCCCCGGTACCGCCGAAGCTTCCGCCGGAAGGCCGCCTCCGCAGCATCGCCTTGGGCGTTGGCTGCGTTCGGGGATCCGATGCACACATCCAGGGCCGCGCTGCGTCCGGGGACAGCAGCGGCTGTGAAGATATCAGCCGGCCTGGCCTGTGTACTGGTGAGCCCCCGTGGCTCCGTCGTGACGGCCGCGTCAGCGAGGCGCAGTCCATCGACCAATGCGTGCACGCACGCGTAATGGCCTCTCGTTGCTTCTGCGGTGGGGCAGACCTCGCTGTGCTCGAGCTGCGGGTCGAGCGGCGCGCCGCAGATGCGACACGGACCTGTTGCCTCGTAGCAGCGCCCGCCGAGTCGCTTCACCACGTTGGGGACGTAGTCGCACTCAGCCAGCACTGCGCCAGCTAGCGGGTCCAGGTGCCAGAGCCAGTCGTGCGAGACGTCCTTGTGCCTCAGCTCTCTCAGCCGATCTAGCTGCGGCCAGTTGCACTGCCTGCGCAGCTCGCCCTTCCAAGGCGCGAAGGCGCGTGCAGTCCTGTAGCTTCGCTTGCTCTTTTTGCAGCCGTGGCCCCGTGCACTTCCTGTCGCGCCCTTCTGGGTCCCCGTCGCCGCCGTCGTGCGTGTCGCCGAAGGCGTCGGCGACGTGGTCGTCTTGCCCAGCGTATGCCGCGTCCGCACTGAGCGCCGCTCGGCCAGCCCCGCCCGCGCCTGCCTGGACACCTTGCCACTGCTCCTCCGCGGCCTGCCGGGCTCTCTGCAGGAAGTGCTCCGCCTTGACCTTCTCGACCTCGTCCAGCTCGCCCAGGAGCGCCGCCTCCACCCTCTGCGTCCACGCAGCAAGCTTCTCCTCGAGCTGCCCGGCGCGGAGGAGGCCAGCATGGACAGCAGCTGCGGCCATGCCGCGGACCCTCGGCCCTGCTGCCACCAGCGCACCTAGGTTGGCGGGCCGTGCTGTGTCCTTGGCCCTGCGCCAGCCCAGCCCCCCTAGAGCTGCTGCCAATGACGCCTGCTCGTGGCTCTCTGCGGTGAGGCCCGGGAATAGTCTGTCCATGGCGTCACGCGTTGCTTTGTCGGTGTCGCCACTTCGTAGGAGCTGGTCGCCGTGCACCCGGAGGATGTGGTTGATGCGGCCGATGCCCAGGCTCTGGCGGCACAGGACGTGCTCGGTCTGGGCGTCTTGGCAGATGGCGACACGCTCGTGCATGGCCCGAACGACACGGACTTTCTGCTGCACCTGCTCTTGAATGACCGCCGGCGTCCCCGTGGCGACGCCGAGCGTCATGCTTCCGGCTTCGGCGGTGCTGACTGTCGCCAGTTGCCTCACCCGCTCCACCTCCCACTCGTCAGAATGGGCAAGGAGCTCGGCCTCCCGCGCAAAGTAGATCACCTCCGTCTTCGCACGGTTCCGTTCGCCGCCCACGGTGACGTTCTTCTCGTCGAAGCTGACCAAGAGCGGCAGGACGAGTTTCGGATCGCAGAGGATATCGCCGTCGTCCAGGAACCAGAAGTCTGCCAATCCTCCCTGCCCTTGGATCTCGTGCCCTGGGTCGGGCACCAATGGCCCGGCTCCCTCGCGTCCCCTCCGCTGCACTGGAGCCACGGCCGCCCATTCTGCAGCGCGGGTGTTTCGGTGATCGTACTCCTCGGCGGCTGCCTGCGCGGCCGCTGGTCCCGCCGTCGCCCACGGCAGCTGGCCTCTCCGTTGCGCGGCGTGCACCTCCCCCCGGGCTGCGCTCGCAACTGTCGCGAGAGCGAGGCTGCACTCAAGGGGGCCGTCGACGTCCCCTTGCTCAGCTCCGCGGTTTTTCACCGCCGTGTCGACTCCGGGCTGCTCCACGCCTGACGCCTCGGCGTGTTTCCAGCAGGCGACGGGCAAGTGCCGCGGGAGCGCCTGCTTGGTTGCCTCTCTCACCGCCGGCCATTCGAGGGAGCCGAAGCAGTTTTTCTCGTCGATCTTCATTCGTGCAAGCGGTTTGTCAAGTTTTCCCTCCGCCCACAGGTCGTAGACGAGTTGTTGGAAGATCGCGAGGGCCTCAGCTCCGCCAGGCGTGCGGACGCCGAGCTGCCGCGTCGCCGCCATCAGCCTTTCGATGTCCGGCCCGTTCAGGTGGAGAAGACGCCTGCTCACCCATTTCCGGAGGAATTCGCCCATCTGGATAGGTCGTACCTTGGGGCGTGCCCGGACCCCGTGCTCGTCGTCAGCGGCCGCCTGTTCCTCCATCGAGGCGTCACCCTGCTGCTGCGCTGCCGCGTCCACGTCGACTTCGGGGCCCTCGGCCGCCACAGCACTCTCAAGCACTGAGCGCGCCCAGTCTCGCTCGCCGGCTGCATTGGGCAGCTCCCCCTCCTCCTCCTCTTCCTCCTCCTCCTCATCCTCTTCGTCCTCATCATCCTCAGCCTCATCGTCGCGCAACGTCTGGAGCCACTCCTCGTCCTCAAACTCCTTACACGCTGGCTCACGCTCCTTGTGGAGGAACAAGACCTGCGTGTTGAGCAGCCACCGGCACGTCCGAGGCAACTGATTGATCGCCCAGCGGACGGTGAGGTCGTCGAGGGCACGCGTCAGCCTCCTCCTCTGGCTCGCCCCCGCCGCTGTCATGATGTCGTCCAGGTGTTCTTGACACTCTCCCGTTGGGCCGGGGGCCGACAAGGGCGGAAGCTTTACCCAAGGGAGGCTCGGCGGGCCGTCAGGTTTCTTCCCGGCGTTCCGCATTTCACGCTTGGCCTGGGCAACATCACCTCCCCCCCAAGCGCACTCCTTTGCTGCTGCCTCCTCCTCTGGCCGCGTGCAGGGGCCGTGGATGGCATCACTTTTCGGGATCAGCTCCTCTGTCCAGCGCGCCCGCTCGGCCGGGCTGCCAGCCGCGACGCAGCCAACCAGGCCTTTGACGGCTTTGCCGACCGCGTTTGCTGCGGCCTTCTGGCGTGCGGCACGGCCTCTGTCCTCCTCGCTCTCCTTACTCCCTGCACTCCTCTCTTCTCCTGCTCTGCTTTCTCCTGCTCCTCCTCCTCCTCCTCTGCCTCCTCTGCCTCCTTCCTCTCCTCCTCTCCCGCGCCGGCGATCGGCCTCCACGCGCTGCCCCACGACGCGGGCGACAAGCTCGTCGAACCCGCCGCGCTCCCAGAGCTGGAGACGGCGCTTGAGCTCGGTGTTCCTGTCCATGCCGTCAGGAACAGGCGCCAGAAGGATTCGACTCCGGTACCGCGCCAGGAAAGCCTACTCGCTGTCGCCAGCCATGCAGCCTTCCAGGGCCTCGGCCCACGTTGTCGCCACCCGCGAGGCCACCGCCCTCGGAATCCGAGTCAGCCCGCCGCGCTGCAAGTGGCGAGGCGCCTGCAGCTTCGAGTCCGCGCTGAGGGCTACTGCACGGACTCTGCTTTGTGGCGGGGTCGCGGCCTCTCCCTCGTCCTGCGGCTCCTCTGGCACTCCTGCTTCAGCCACCTCCTCCGCCGCACCCTCGGCCGCCGCGGCTGGGGGCGCTGCTGCTGCCGCCCCCGGTGCTGCCACCCCGCGGCGCCGGTCAGGAACAACGTCGCCAATGTGCAGGGGGCGCGTCGCAGTAGCGCATCCGCAGTAGGCCAAAGGCCACTAGATCCGCCGCCCCCTGCTTGCAGGGGTGCACGGCGTGCTGGATGAGCTGTCAGGTTTTGGTTTTGGTTCTTTTTCCAAAAGAACTCCCCAGTGGGCTCCGGCAGAACCCGCCGGCCACCCGGAAAATCCCCAAAGGTGCTCAACGACCGCAACAAATCCTCCAAAAACGGCCGTTTCGCTCGGGACATCCTCAAAAAATCGCGAAGATGGCCCAAGATGGCCTCCAAGTCCGCCCGAGATGGTCCAAGACGGCCTCCAAAACGGCCCAAGAGAGTCCAAGACGGCCCAAGACGGCCCAAGAGGCCCCCCAGAGGCCTCCCAGACGGCCCAAGAGGCCTCCAAGAGGTCCTCCAGGAGAGTCCGAAGAGGCCAAAATCATTGATGTTCCGTTGGTTTTTGAAGGATTTTGGCATTTGCGCCTTTTCGGCTCTCCGACGGCTCAAGACGGCCCAAGAAGCCCCCAAGATCGCCCAAGAGGCCCCCAAGAGAGCCCCCTGATGGCCCAAGTGGCCTCCAAGATGGCCCCTAGAGGGCCCCAAGACGGCCCAAGAGGCCTCCAACACGCCCAAGATGGCCTCCAAGACGCCCAAGATGGCCTCCAAGACGGCCCTGGAGCGCCCCAAGAGGGTCCCCCGTTGGCCCAGAAAGGCCCCCAAAACGGCTCCCGACGGCGTCAGACGTGCCAGGAACCCACCAAGATGGCCGAAGTTGGCTCGAAGCTGGCCCAAAAGGGCCCAAGAGGCCCCCAAGAGGGCCTCCAGGAAGGCCAAAAGATGCCAAAATCACTGATTTTCCCAAGGTTTTTGATGGATTTGGGCATTTCCCTTTTTTCGGCCTTCCGACGGCCCGAGACGGCCCAAGAGCCCCCAAAGATCGCCGAAAGATCGCCCAAGAGGCCTCCAAGACGGCGACGATGACCATCAAGACGCCCACGTGTTCCCCGAAGGCTTTCCAAACCGATTCGGGGAACACATGGTCCGATGGCTTGGCAGGTCTGGCCTCAACGTTCGGCCACATAGGCGCTTCCACAAAGGCAAGGGGCGGCGGTGATTCGCCGTAGGCGTCTTCGATCCGCCGCCCCCTGTCGATTCATCGCAGGGGTGCCTGGCATGCTGGACCCTTTCGGTTTTGGTTCCTTTTCCAAAAGAACTCCCCCTGGGGCTCCAGCGCGTCCCGCCGGCCACCCAGAAGGATGCCGAAAGATCTGCCAGAGGTGGTTGCAAAGGGTTGTTCCGTTCCAGACGGCTCCAAGATGGCCTCCAAGATGGCCTCCAAGACGCCTCCAAGACGGCCAAGATGGCCTCCAAGACGGAGAAGATGGCCCCAAAATGCCTCCAAGACGGCCCAAGATGCACCCAAAACGGCCTAAGATGGCCTCAAGATTGCCCAAGACGGCCCAAGAGGCTCCCAAGAGGCCTCCAAGACGGCCCAAGAGGCCTCCAAGAGGTCCTCCAGAAAGGCCCGAAGAGGCCAAAATCATTGATGTTCCGTCGGTTATTGAAGGATTTTGGTATTTGCGCCTTTTCGGCTTTTCGACGGCCCAAGACGGCCCAAGAGGCCCCAAAGGTCGCCCTCAGATCGCCCAACAGGCCCCCAAGAGGGCCCCATGACGGCCCAAGAGGCATCCAAGACGGCCCCAAGAGGGCCCCAAGACGGCCCAAGAGACCTCCAAGACGCCCAAGATGGCCTCCAAGACGGCCCCGAAGCGCCCCAAGAGGACCCCAAGTCGGTTCAGAGAGGCCCCCAAGACGGCTCCCGACGGCGTCAGACGTGCCAGGAACCCACCAAGATGGCCGAAGTTGGTTCTAAGCTGGCCCAAGACGGCCCATGACGGCCCAAGAGGCCTCCAAGAGGGCCTCCAGGAAAGCCAGAAAATGACCCAAACACTGACTGCCCTGAGGTTTTCAACGGATTTGGACATTTGCTCATTTTCTTCTTTTCGGCCTTCCGACGGACCGAGACGGCCCAAGAGCCCCCAAAGATCGCCCAAAGATCGCCCAAGAGGCCTCCACAATGGCCCCAGAACTGCCCAAGAGGCCCCCAAGACGGCCCCAAGAGGCCTTCAAGACGGCCCAGCAAGCTTTGAAAACGCCCAAGATGGCCTCCAAGACGGCCCTGAGCACCCCAGGAGGACCCCAAATCGGCCCAGAGAGGCCCCCCAAAAGGCTTCCGACGGCGTCAGACGGGCCAGGAGCCCACCAAGACGGCATAAGATGGCCCTAAGATGGCCCAAGACGGCCCAAGAGGCCTCCAAGAGAACGGCCTCCAGGAAGGCCCGAAAATGCCCAAATCCTTGCTTTCCAATGAGTGTTTGAAGGATTGTGGCATTTGTTTTTTGTTCGGCCTTCCGACGGCCCGAGACGGCCCAAGAGCCCCCAAAGACCGCCCAAGATGCCCACGACGGCCCCAAGAGGCCCCCAAGACGGCCCAAGAGGCCTCCAAGACGTTCAAGATGGTCTCGAAGACGGCCAAGATGGCCTCCAAGACGGCTAACATGGCCCCAAGATGCCTCCAAGATGGCCCAAGATGCACCCAAAACGGCCTAAGATGGCCTCAAGATTGCCCAAGACGGCCCAAGAGGCTCCCAAGAGGCCTCCAAGACGGCCCAAGAGGCCTCCAAGAGGTCCTCCAGGAATATCGAGACGTCTGAGATCGGTCTGCTACTAGAGCTGCGACTGAACATTCTATTCCCACTCTGCAAAGTTTGAAAGGTCTCTTTTCTCTACTTAATCGAGCTGTAGGCGAGCTACGGAGCTGGGAAGCATACCAATCGGCAGGAAATCATCAGGAGCGCTAGTCAAAATAATCTAGATGCCTGAGATCGGTCTGCTACCAGAGCTGCAGCCAAAAGGCTATTTGCACTCTTCAACTTTTTGAGAGGCAGTGCTGGTTTTATATATTTCACTTCGGCTGTAGGCGAGCTACGGAGCTGCGATGCACACCTCCCACAGGAAATGATCGGAAATATTCGCCTGCAGCATCGAGTCTGCTACCAGAGCTGCGACTGCAAAACTATTCGCGCTGCACTTTTTGAGAGATAGCGCTTGTTTTGTCTACATAATTCGACCTGTAAGCACTCTAACGTTTCTCAAAATGACCAGTCAAACTGGGTGCCGGCGACAAGCCGTCAACCAGGCTACCGCCGGGGACCTCGTAGAGCTCCGCACACACATAACAGTGCTGCGAATGCGGACAGTAGGCTCTCTCGAATATCAGCTTGAGAACTAGAGAAAACATGTTTTGGGGGTTCAACGGCAGCTAAACACCGAAACAGCTAAAGACCGAAGAATCCCCAGGCGAACGCGACAGAAACACTCTAGTCGCAGAGGCACTCCACCCCCGAAACGAATTTCGAAATCTCTGATAGTTCTGGAAAAGTTTAATATCATTAAAAACTTAAAGAATCTTACTTTTTAAATGAATCGATATAAATATTGCAGGTGCCTGCGACTTTTACCAAGGAGCGCATCATAATACAATGCCCAGTGGAAAAAAATCCTCAGAGGTTTAAAGGAACAGTCGAATCTCTCAGAATCTCTCAAAACCGCAACACATTTTTCTATTTCGTGGACGTGCGGTGTCATGGAACGGCCATTGCCTCAGCTTGCCCATACCTCGAAATCAGTTGAGACAACCACCCACGAAGAAAGTACGCGACTCAAGTTGAACGATGCTTGACATAATCAACTCATATCGAATGATGTGCTTGACAGCTTCGTAGCTGTTTCCAGAGTACAGATAATGTTTCGTTCGCAGTTATGGTAGCAGACCGGTCTCAGGCATCTCGATGCTCCAGACTAGCGCTGCGACCTATTTGCTTCGAACGGTGTGATTCCCAGCTCCGTAGCTTGCCTACAGCTCGAGTTAAGTAGAGAAAACCAAAATCGTTTCTCAACACTTGGAAGAGTGCAGATAATTGTTTGATTGCAGCTTTGGTAGCAGACCGATTCGAAGCGTGTAGATATTTTAGACTAGCGCTTTTGCTCCGTAGCCCGCCAAAATCTCGGATTAAGTCGAGAAAGCGAACATCGCCGTCAAAACTTGCAGAGTCCGAGTAGTTTTCCAGTCGGAGCTCTGGTAGCAGACCGATCTCAGACGTCTCGGTACTATAGACTAACGTTCCTTACCATTTGCTGTCAGAAGATGCGCATCTCAGCACCGTAGCCCAGATATGGTTCAAGTTAAGTTCAGAGAACCAACATTGTCTTTCGAACAGGTGTAGAGTGCGCATGGTGTGTTTGGTCGCAGCTCTGGTGACAGACTGATTTCAGGCGTCTGCATACTCAAGACCAAAAGCTCCTGATCAGCTTCCGTCGATTAGTCTGCCGCTCAGCTTCGTAGCGTGCTTGAACTTAGCCGCTTCGCCTATGGGCAAGCTCTACGAGTCACTTGTAGCGTCCAAGACCCGGATAGCAGAGGCGGCGGGCGGCACCGGGCGGCGGAAGGTCACGGTGGAAACGCTGCCCCCGTCATTGTGTAGTCCCAAACTGGCAGCCGGCGGTAAACCGTCAACCAGATTACCGCGGGGACCCTCGTAGAGCTCCATGCACGCGTAGCTCGGAATACAAGCAAAAAGCTTCCTTGAGTCCAAAACTCGAGACATACATTTTTGGGGTTTGAACCCGAAGTCGGTTCCGACTCGTGATACTGCAGCTACGGACCTGAAAATTTCACTGGCGAGCAGCATAACCTACTACAAGTTCGAAAATCTTCGTTCTTAAAACGAACTGTCAAATCTTTCAGAATGTTCGCCCAACCGACCCAAAGTTACCACTTCGTCCGCCCTAGCCGGGTCCGTCAACTAGGTGCCCGCAGTAAACCGTCAATCAGATTACCCCGGGGGTCTTCGTAGAGCTCCTTATGCAACAAATCATCCCCACACGATTTGTTAACGATTTGTTGATATTCCCCCTGTAGAGGGACAGGCCCGACTTACCATTAATAGGAGGATCGTCAATCAGGTCTCCCACATGCGGATTTCAGCTGCCCAGGCTTCGCTTCGCTCGCTCGCTCCTCCAACCCCTCATCCCTTTCGCCCTCCTCCTCCTCCGCCCTCCTCCTCCAGCGCTAGAGGCTGGATCCTCTCGCAACGCCGACCGGCTCGGCCATCAAAGGCCAAGCGGCGCGCAGCCGTTGGGGGTGCAGCGGAGAGGGCAAAGGCGGAGGAGGAGGAGGAGGACAAGATGGGGAGGAGGAGGAGGAGGAGGAGGAGGAGGAGGAGATCGAGGCGGCGCCACTCCACCATCATGTCCTGCCTGATGCTACTCCTCCGCACTCTATGTCTCTTGGCCCTCCCGTCGGCGGTGGGCACCGCCCAGGAGCACGCGCCGAAGGGCCGCAGATGACGCAGCAAGCCCACGGGCGCGGCCGCGGGCGAGGGAGACAGAAGGAGGAGAGGAGAAGGAGAAGGGAGGAGGAGGGAGGAGGGAGGAGGAGGAGGAGGAGACAGGGGCAGGTGGGGCGGCGGCGGGATGTCTCCTTGATGACGCGAAGGTGCTGGAGCTGCATGCCATCGAGCTCCCGGCCGTCGATCTTCATCTGCAGCGTCACCGTTCCCATCGAGGTCGGGTCCGAGGTCGCTGTGCCCTGCTGGCCCGCGAACTTGCCCACCAGGACCTTCGACTGCCAGCATACGTGGCGGGCTTCGGGTGCCCTGAACTCAAAGCAAGCGACATCTCTCGGGAGCGAATCGGTTATCGGGGATCTACTGACCCGGGTCAATCCAAACCCGGGCCAGTCAGGCCTTGCAGGATCCTGCAGGATCCTGCAGGATCCTGCGCCCAAGCCCGGGTCAGTGCAGCCCTGGCTCTGCAGGATCCTGCAAGATCCGGCGCTCCTGGGGAGAGCGAAAGGTACCGATACCGCTACTCCCTGGACCTCTCCCAGGGGGCGTTCTGACCAGGATGTCGAGGCGAGTCCAGCGGTGGCGACGAGGGCATCCCAGGACGCCCCAAAAAGGGGAAAACGGACGAAAGGTAGAGGTATGGGTACCTTTTCTTCTCCTGAGTTTGCGCTGACACCCGCTTGCAGTGGCCCCCGTCGCTTGAGCCCCGAGAGTTTGCACCTGCTGGCTCCCGCCGGTCTTCGGCCAGGTTGCGTCGGCGGCCCCGCCGCCGCTCTGCTTCCGCCGGCTGCCGCCGCTCTTCCGCCGCCCCTCCCTCGGGGGGGCAGGGGCGGGGAAGAACGGCGCAGAGACGAGCCAACGCATGCCCACATGTTTTGTTTTGACGTCGCGGCCCCGCGCGCAGCGACAGGGCGGAGGAGGCCACAGAGCAGAAAGCGCGCGCGGCAACTAGAACACAAGCACACACACACACACCTCTTGTTACGCGCACTGCCCCAACACGGCATCGTGGTGCTCACTGCGGGGAGGGGCCCCGGGAGGAGAACGAGGAGGAGGAAGAGGAGAAGGAGCAGGAGGAGGAGGAGGAGGAGGAAGAGGGGGAGGAGAAGGAGGAGGAGGAGGAGGAAGAGGAGGAGGAGGAGGAGGAGGAGGAGAAGGAGGAGGAGGAGGAGGAGGAGGGCGGAGAAGGAGGAGGAGGAGGAAAAACGAGGAGGAAGAAGCGGAGTCGCAGGGAGATCCCCCCCGGAATCACATCGACTCCCCGGCTCCGGGTCCACCCTCCTGGTGGGTCTCTCGGGCTGGCGCCCGGCCGCGGCGGAGGAAACCCGCAGAGAGGCGCTGAAAAGACATCTGCATCGAGCAAGGTGCAAGCCCTCCCCCGCAGGCTGGGGCGACGCAGCAGGGGATCGCGGCCCGCTGGGGACGAGAAGCTGGCCACGGGGAAGGGTCGAGATCCCTGGGGGGCCACGCTGCGAAACAGCTGCGACGTCGAGGGGCCACGGTTCTCCTCCCGCCCGAGTTCGGCGAGCGTGCCAGCCGACGTCAGGCTCTTCAACCGTCCGGGGTTCACAGAATCCCGACCCCCAGCATGCCCAGCTTCTCGTCCCCAGCAGCCATCTGACGGCCCCAGAGCCCGAGGCCAGACATGGCGACACCTCGGCCCCGTGCATGTTTCGTGGCGGCGGATGTCTGGGCAGGGCTCTTCTCCTCGCCCAGCCCCAGACCCCTAGCGTAGTTTTCTTTTTCCCGCAACGTGGACCCCTGGATGTCTGGACCCCTTCCCTGGGTTTGGTCTGCATTCCGATTGAGCTACTTTCTGGCAGCCCTGGAGCCCGAAATTGGATGACGCAGACTGGTTTCTGCAATCCACGGGCCCCAAAGGTCTGGACCTTGACCTCTTACATGGGGACGGTTCCTCGTCCCATGCAGATCCATTTCTGCTGGTCCCGGGGCGTATGCAAAACTGTCCTGCCCGAAGATCGGGTGCGCCCAGTGGGCTTAGGTCGGGCGTGTCCTCCCACAGGGGGATTCTGGACGAAAAATTAAAAACACCGAAATAAATGTAAAAGTAATCCAAAACATTCAGGAAGTCGTCCCCTGACTATTTTTTGGGCTATCTTTGAATACTCCTCCTGTAAAAGAGACGGGCCCGATTTAGGAGGGAGGGGGGTTGGCGCTGCGTGGCCCGAGGCACGTGCGCGGGCGAGGGGCGCCGGGGAACTCCTCGACGGGGGGATCTCGTGGCCCCAGCCGGGGGGGCAGCGGTATGGGGGGACCTTGGCCTCAGTGGGCCCCGGAAACGGCAGGGCCGTGTTTCCACCGTTTCCGAAGAAGTGCCCCTTGAAACTGGAAGCGGCAAAAAAACGGCGACCGGAAACGGCAACAAAAACGGTTCCAGGATTGGAACTGAACCGGGAACCCGTAAAAGAACGGCGACGGAACCGGTAAAAAAACGGCGTCGGAGCCGGTAAAAAAACGGCCCTGTCGTTTCCAGGGCCCACTAAGGGACTGCATAGAATGAACGCATCGGCCTACTACCCTCGTCAAAATTAGCCTCAAAAGTGGCGACCACGCCCCTGCGATGTCGGCGCGCTCTTCAATGTCGATAGGCGCCCCTTCAGATGTCGGGGCCAGGGCAGAAGTGGTCTGACCGGGAACGACTCGGAAGTTCGATGATGACCGACATTGGGGGGGCGGCGCATACAAGTACCTCGCAGTCACCGCAACTCTGGCCAGTATCTCCCCGCAAACCGTTCAGCCACGTAAGACATGTTTGAAGTTCATTTTGACGAGGGCTGTAGCATCGGCGACACATCGCTGATGCATCGGCGGTAGGCCCCCGATCGCGAGTCCGCAGCTTCCTGGGCAGGCTGGGGCCATCCGGCCCCTATCGGCGATCCATGGGCGAGTGGGGGTTGATGCATCTCCCCCTGATGCCTATCCCCCCACTGTCGTTGCCCCCGATCAGAGCAGATCGCGACGCCACGACACTGGAGGAAACCGCCCGGGCAGATCGCGACGCCAGGACCCCGGGGAGGAGGAAGAGGAGGAGGAGGAGGAGGAGCAGGAGCAGGAGGAGGAGGAGGAGGAGGAGGAGGAGGAGCAGGAGCAGGAGCAGGAGGAGGAGGGAGGAGGAGGAGGAGGAGGAGGAGGAGGAGGAGAGGAGGAGGAGCAATAATAAATAATAATATAATAATAATAATAATAATAATAATAATAATAATAATAATCATAATAATAATAATAATAATAATAATAATAATAAAAGAATAATAATAATAATAATAATAATAATAATAATAATAATAATAATAATAATAACAACAACAACTCACAAGAGCGATCGTTCGATGACCTGTCGAATCAGCCTGGCCGAATGGACTTGCACAGGGGCTCATACGCTCAGAGACGCGCGACTGTAGAGGGGGTGACACGAGCAGGGCCCACCGACGACAGTGCACGCAAGCCCGAAACAGCACGAAGCATGAAGGGCCGCGAACGCCGTGCACTCGTACCTGTAGCACGAGTGCACCATGAGTCTTATCCCTGGGATCTCGATTTGGATCGCTCGAATTGCAATCGGGCTGCCTGAAACCGTGACGACAAACGAGCGCCGTCGGACACACTGAGGACAGGAGGAGGAGGAGGGGAGGGGGAGGGAGGACGAGGACGAGGGGGGGGGGGGGGAGAACCGTCTCTCGGCAGGCGGCGGCAGGGGCCTGGAAGATCAGACACAGAAAGAGCTCTATCTGAATCACGAGCTGGCCTCACGTGTCCATCTCGTCGATCGCCTGCTGGATCCTGCGCTCGAGGTCTCCTGGAGGTGCCACGCCCTCGAGCTTCACTGCTTTGTCGCGAATCCACAATGGTACGAGAATCTGGTTCAGCACTTTCTCGCTGTTGGTGCCGGGTAGTACGTTGATCTCGAGGCGCTTGAGCTTGCTGTCGTATGTCTTGCAGCATCTGGCGTAACGAACTTCCTTCATGAGATTGTGTAGGTATGTGGCCTTCTCGGGTTGATTGTTCTTCATTTTGTCGATGTACTGCTGCAAGGAGTCCAGCATCGGTGGTTCCAACTCCTTCTCTCCAAGTTTGGTCTTCGCCACCACGATCCAAGCGTTCCAAACATGAACGTGAGGATGTGCCAAGTTCGCGATCTTCTGCTGCTTCTGGTCCCTGCTGTAATGCTTCGCTGCCTCCGAATAGCTCTCGGTAGAATTCTTCCCCTGGATGAATTACTCGGAGCTCTCGCTCACCTGATAGTTTTCCAACACGATTGCCCGTAGAATCCGTGACGACATAGCAGTACTGAGGGTTAACTTTGCTATGAGAAGAACCAGAGCCTGAAGGTCGTGCTGACTTGCGCCTTTGCGACGGTCTTTCGCCACTGGCCTGGAGGAGCCCGTCGCCAGTCCGAGGTCCATTGGGGCTGGGTGCCGGGATCTGCGGAAAGAATGTGGATGAGGTATCTGCCTTGGAAAACTCAAGTCGTCTTGGACCAGATAGACGTTGGGTACGGATATGATGATTGTACACATATATGTCGTCGCACTCGTAATTGTACCCGTAGAGCTTACATATGGCGCACGTGTAGGTGGCGTCGGACACGATAGGAGGCGTGGGTATAAAGCTTTGATCAACAAGTACACCTACCGTAATGCCAGCTACGTCGTGCAAGATCTTGTGCGATTTTGCAGGTAGAAAAGTGTGTAGAGCACCATGGACATACAGCTTCCATAACGATAGAGTCGAGAGTAATCATGCCGTGCATGCTCTGTTCACGTGCGCGATGGAGTCTAAGAGCTTTCATGGTAGGAAACGTAAGTGTACATATGTTACCATCAGTGCGCATGAGACCACAATCATACTCGCCAGTAGGTAATGAACATGATGACGTATGAAGATTAAGCGTGTCGTATTCGTGATGAGGAGGAGGGATGTTGACGGAAAGGAACTGAGCACGCAACTCGGACACGTCAATCTCTACAAAGTCTTCCTGAAGCGTGCCAGTCACTGCGAGCTGCCATGGAGAAACGCCGTCGAGAAAGTATGCGCACTCCAACAGAGACAACTCCTGTATATCTGTGGTCAGCTGCTCCAGCCACGGATGAGAAATCACAGCGTCGAGAGAATCATGAGGGAAGCGACCGAACATAGCAGTTATATAAGGAGGAGGAGGAGGAGGAGGGGGGAGGAGGAGGAGGAGGGAGGAGGAGGAGGAGGAGGAGGAGAAGGAGAAGGAGGAGGAAGAGGAGGAGGACAGCCGACAGCCCCGTCCCTCAGGGGGGACGCCTCAGTGCTGCGCAGAGCTGTCGCAGAAGCGTCCGCAGCAGGGTGCTCTGGTGGCCGCCTGCGCCTGCGGAAGTCTGGGCCGCCTTGTGGGACGCCGGAGGCCACAGCATTATGTCGGGCGTGTCCCCCATACACGAGGATTTTCGACGAAAAATAAAAAATACCCCAACAATACCCCAAAAAGGTCAAAAAATACTCAAAACATAATCCCCCGACTATTTTTTTACTACTTGTTGACTATTTTTGGGGGTATGTTTTATTTTTCGTCGAAGATCCCCCTGTATGGGGGACAGGCCCGACTTAACCATAGCATTCAACACAAACATGTTCAAACATGTCACTGAAACGTGTACCGCCACCGAGCAAGGTCTGAGCATGAAGCGCATGCCACCGAACACCTGATCGGACAAGAGCGGGAAGCGCCGCCTTCGTCCATTGGGCTCGTAGGGGGAACGGTCATCCCAGACCCCCGACGCCATGACCTGTTCCTTACGTCGACCCCCAGAGTCTCGCCGCATGCCCCCAGGAACGGTTCTTCGCCCCGAGCCGTTGCTGGACGGCCCCGCGAGGCCCGAGAAGGGCGCCCAGAGGCCGAAGATGGCGAACAAAACTACCGCCATGACTGTTCCACTGCTCGAGGGGGGCTGCTCCAGGGCCGGCGTGTCCCCCTACAGGGGGATTTTTGCGACGGAAGATAAACAATACTCCAAACTACTCCAACGATGCTCCAAAAATGGCCAAACAAATACTCAAAAAAACAGCCCCCAGACATTTCGTGCTACTACTTTTGAATTCTCCTCCCGTCGAGGGACAGGCCCGACCCAAGTCCGGGGAGGGGACACCCCGTCGCCGAGAGGTCGGCCATCGGCCCCCCGAGGCAGCAGCACCGCGCGCCATCGACGGGCGGGGTGGGCTTCCGGGCCCCTCTTCGGGGGGAACGAGGCCGGGGGGGGACGAGGCAGGGGGGGGATGGCACAGGGCAGGGCAGAGAGAACCAGCTCGCCTGGCTGCTTCTCCCAGCGCCCCCCGGCGCCGGGAGGCGCCCATGCATCGAGGGGTGGGCCCGGCGGCGGGGCCGAAACCAGCTGCACGCGGCAGCTTTCGTTAATCCCCCCTTCCCCTATCCCCCCCTTTCGTTCGCCCCGAGAGAAGGAGGAGGAGGAGGAGGAGGAGGAGGAGGAGGAGGAGGAGAGAGGAGGAGGAGGAGGAGGAGGAGAGGAGGAGGAGGAGGAGGAGGAGGAGGAGGAGGAGGAGGTGGAGGAGGAGGAGGAGGAGGAGGGCGGAGGAGGAGGAGGGCGGAGGAGGAGGGCGGAGGAGGAGGAGGAGGAGGAGGAGGAGGAGGCCTGACCCTTTTCGGCGATGAATGGGCGCCCGTTCGGGACGATCCGGGCACCCCCAGCACGCTCTCGGCGAGGCGCAGCTGCTGGAAGGCACCCCGAGGCCAGCAATCCACCGAGAACCGACGAGAGCGCCCGAAAACGTCGAGCCTGACCCCTGAGCCCCCCCCGCTGGTCCTTCTGCCCCCCTCTGCGGCGCCCCCCCCCTCCTAGAAAGCTGGTGGGCGGAGAGCGCACGGCGGACGGCGCCGCTCGTGGGACAGGAGGGTGGGGAAAGCTCGGCATGTTTAAATAGGGTTGGGGCCTGAGACATGCCCAGCGAGCCGCACCGACGCGTGGTGGGCCAGAATTGGCGGCGGACATGCAGAACAAAACTTCCTGCCCCTCATGTTGGCGGCGGACCCAGCCAGGGGGGAAGGCAGCGGGGGCGGGGCTTCTCAGAAGGCCCTGAAAGCCTCCAGCCTTCTGAGAAGCAGTCCTGGACTCCTCCGAAGTCGCTGGCGGTTTCCCAAATAGGCGCGAGTGCTTCTGAGAAGCCCCGCCGCTTCCTGCAAAGGCCCGCCCCCTGTCATTTCCCCATCAGAGCTCGCCCCCGATCTTGGACGCCCCCGACCCTGAGATCCGACGACGCGCAAGAATATTGCAACATGGAGGAAAATCACGGCCGCAGCCCCGGCCCCCACCTTCCCGCACCACTGCTTTCGAGCCGCACCGTGCTGTGAGGGCCCATCTGGGGCCCGAAGTGATGCGAGGCAACGCCAGAGCTGAGGGGCAACGATAGGGGGGGACTGGCAAGGGGGGGATGCATCGACCTGGAATCGGCGATACATCGCTGATAGATCGGCGATAGGCCCCCGATCGCGAATCCGCACCGTCCCGTGCAGGTTGGGGTTATCGGGCCCCTATCGGCGATCAGTCGGCGATTGGGAGTCGATGCATCCCCCCCTGTGCCTATCCCCCCCTGTCGTTGCCCCCGATCAAAGCAGATCGCGACGCCAGGACACTGGAGGAGACCGCCGGCGGGCAGATCGCGACGCCAGGACCCCGGGGGGGAGGAGGAGGAGGAGGAGGAGGAGGAGGAGGAGGAGGAGGAGGAGGAGGAGGAGGAGGAGGAGGAGGAGGAGGAGGAGGAGGAGGAGGAGGAGGAGGAGGAGGAGGAGGAGGAAGGAGGGGAGAGGAGGAGGAGGAGGAGGAGGAGGAGAAGGAGGGAGGAGGAGGAGGAGGAGGAGGAGGAGGAGGAGGGCGGAGGGAGGAGGGAGGAGGAGGAGGGAGGAGGAGGGAGACCGCCGGCGGGCGGGGGGGCGCCTGGCACACCGCGCCCTTCGTCACCACCTTGTCCCAAGCCTTGTCCCGGGCCTTCGCGGCCTTGGCGGGCCGCGCGCCCGGCTCCTGCGGGGGCCGCGGTGCGGCGCCGCGGCGGTCGAGGGCGCCGCGCGCGGCGCCCCGCCCCCCCTCCGTCTCGCCGGCCTCCGAGTCTCGCGGCTGGAGTTGTGCTGCTCCCATCGCACTTCAGGAGATGGCCCAGGAGGGCCCCAAGAGAGCCCCGAGAGGGCCGACTCCCCCAAAGACGGCTCAAGAGGGTGCCGGGAGACGGCCCAGGAAGGCCGCCAGACGGCCCAAAGGAGCTCCGAAGTGATCCCCACGAGAACCAAAAGAGCCCCAACGTGATCCCCAAAGAGCTCCGAGGCTCGGGGCTGGAGTTACTTTGTCCCCATCGTTCTGCAAGACCACATCCCAGAAGTAATGTCGAGCACCCAGAGAAGCGTCGAAAGAGTGTCGAAAGAATGTCGGACGAGCGTCTCCCAGGGCCTGACACGTGAAAATCCTCGAGCTTCGGTGCTCTTCTTGTCCTCGAGATTCTTTCGGGCGGTCAAGGCGAAAGCAGGCTGGAGCACCACCAGGCTGG